GAGAGAGAGAGAGAGAGAGAGAGAGAGAGAGAGAGAGAGAGAGAGAGAGAGAGAGAGAGAGAGAGAGAGAGAGAGAGAAGAGAGAGAGAGAGAGAGAGAGAGAGAGAGAGAGAGAGAGAGCTTACAAGCCATCGTTTGAAAGAAGAGATATGGAGAGTTCCATTGCTGATGCTGAGTATGAATGGATGATGGGTGGCTTTCGAATAGAGAAGATGGTGTTTCTCTCTCATCCATATGTCTGTAAATCCTAAACTTCCTCTCTCTTCTCCTTCATCAGAAGAACGTCTTCCCTCCATTTGCTGCTTCTCGGTCTGGCAAGAGTCAAAGCTTCAGGCCGGCTGTTATCTACAAGAGAACCGGACTGGAAGCAAGGAAAACCAAAAGATATTATACTACCTCGGAAGTAGAATGACTATTTACGGCCTTGGGTAAAATCCCACCTAAAATTAATTTTAGGACCCTAAATTTTGGAGATAAAAGAAATCTAACATATAGATTAATCTCAATAAAAATATCATTAATTGTATCCTCTGTGCAGTTAAAAAAGATAAAGGCTTCAGATTTAATATAGATCACCCAATTTCTGGATGGTGAGTCTAAAGTGTTAGGAAACTTAAATTTTTTTTTTTTTTGAGAATAGTAATCTACTAATTTTGAAGTGGTTCCCAAAATTGTTGATTGGAAAAATCTTTCAGGACTTCAACCGAGGGAAAAGTAAACTATGCTCCTGAGGGAGCATAATATACGTGCTCGTAAGGAAAAATACACAATAATAGCACGCTACCATTTATCCCGCACAATCGGTCATGATCACGATGAATGACTTGGGGTTTATCGTTGGATGGGCTAAATATTTAAGAAAGAAAAAACGTCAAAAAGTATACCATGAGACCGCTTATTTTTCTTACTTGGAGGACACAATAAATCCCGACTACTTTATGTGAAATTGAGTGGCTATATTTGTTTATTTATTAAGTTTAAATTTTAATAGAAATTTTTTTGAACTTTGCTACTTAGATTTTATATTGGATGATTATAGGTAAGGGTGCGGCAATCAAATTAAAGCCTACTTTTAAATAGTATCGAGAGATGTGGTTTTACTATAAAAAATATTTATGATGGCCTTAAAATATGTTTTCATATTTATTTATAAAGTTTAAAGCTTTAAAAATGGTGCAGATCGACAGATCTATGAAAACTTGAAAATTTTTAAAATTGATGGTCAAAAAATGCATAACAAAAAACACCATTTTCAGTCCTTGAAATCCAAATTTTTCTCATGTCCATGCATCTTGATGTCGAGATGATCAATTTGAAGATATTTGCGCATCAAAACAACATCTTCTAATGAAATTTTGGAGGTATGCTCAAATTAGAGCCCCGACTCTATAGGTAATCATGACCTCCTTGTAAATGGTCTCTGTAATATATAATACCATACAAAAAAAAAATTTCTAGTACAACATGAATGGTTGGATTTGATATTTAATCACTAAAATAATTTTGACCTTTGTGTACCAAGATAAATAATATGAGGAAGGAAATTTTATAGGAGTCATGGTATGATTTGTATTTTCCTATATTTTATATGGAGTAAAATATAAATCATGGTTTGATTTGTATTTTCCGATATTTCGTATAGAATCATTTTTCTTTCTTTCAATTTTACTACTAATCCGATATTGCAAACATTAAACCAATTTTCTATTTTTTATTATTTCAATGCAGTTTGATACTGCAATATCAGATAGAACCATTTATAGGGTTATCCGATATCGGAACTATCCGACCACCCCTATCCTCCCACAGGGTGGATATAAACATCGAACCCCACCAAAAAAAATATTTTAACATCAATCCACATAAAAAACTTAAAAGTTAATGCGAATCATCGATTCAATAAGGATTCATGAACCGTGGAAATGAACGGTAGTTCTTGTTTACTTAAAAGGATTGCACACAATGACTTGACCTCTTATTGACCTAATGGTTCGTCTAATCTTGATGGCACCGGTTATTATATTGTCATTCATGTGATGGACAAATTACAAATTTAAGGAAAATTGTGACATGCGGGGTGAACTGTATTTCTACAATATGTTGTCGAAAGGTATAAAGCATCCATCTTAAAAATGGATACAAAATGATGGATGCAAATAGGTGGTTCATCTAAAAACAAGTGTAACTACAAGTTCAAATGTTTTTTTAATATAATTATTATTTTTAGTTATAAATTTTTAATTTTTTTTTTCACATTTATGATCACCATGTTAAAGATTATACATTCTCTAAAAATTAAAATCAAAATATATTTTTTACCAAGCCCACATTTCTACAATGTGCAGGCTGGCCCCCAAATTTAAAAAGAAAAACACTAGCAGCTGATCCAGTTGCTTTAAAACCGAAGTCAGGTACTCACTATGACTAAGTTCCCTTTCCGGTAGAAACAAGTGCAAGTTGCAACATGTCATGCCATATATGGTGAAGCTTTCTATGCTTCCTTTACGACATAGTTTTTTTTCAATTTAGCGAAATATCGTACGGAATCTTAATTTTTCATTTTATTTCACGGTAGACTCTCATTCCATTTTTCTTTCAAGCGGCATAAACAAACTTTCAAATATTTCACCCAATCCCCTCATCCGTTATTTCCCCTTTTTTTCACTTTTGGCTATAAAAATTGACCCCAACAAACTATTTTATTCCGTCTCAATCCAAAATTTAGATACACGAGAACATGTGCCTTTGCTGCAAATGGGTTCCTTCTTCAATAAATTCTTAGATTTTGAAAATGGATTATCCAAAATTTAAATACACAAGAACCTTGATTTCTATAAGAAAATGGAAGTTTCGAAGGGAGAGAGAGAGTATAAGACGGTGAGAGCAATAGAGGTTTTGAAGATAGGGAGAGAGAGAGGAAGAGAAAGATAAACTTATCGTGAGAAGTGAGCAGATTCCATTGTGGTGAATTGACAGAGAGCCCTTGCGAGAGATATTACCGTAGTGAAAATGAAAACAAGGGAAATGAAGGTTAAAAAGGATTTTGGATTGAGACGGAATAAAATAGTTTGTTGAGTCAGTTTTTATTGCCAAAAAGTGAAAAAATAGGAAAATAAGAGATGATGGGGTTGGGTGAAATATTTGAGGGTTTATTTTGAAGAAAATTAGAATGAGGGTCTACCTTGAAATAAAATGAAAAATTAGGGTTATGTATGATATTTTCCCTAAAATGTATATACTTCCCTCTATCCAACGGTCCATTATGAATGGACGTCTAAGATGAACTCAATCACAAAGTCACGTCTCTACATTATTGTATTTTTAACTCAAATTATTTTTTGGAAATGACCTTGTGAGACTCTCCTACACCCATATATGTAGGACCCCAAAGGATCATCATTAAATTTAGCACAGATCTCTAGAAAAGTCAAGTCTCACACTCATGTGATAACTTTTATAGAGATCTGTGCCGAATTTAAAGATGATCCTTTTGAGTTCTACACACATGGGTATGGAAGGGTCTCATACAGTGGTTTAAAAAGTGTATCGGTGGCCCGAATCGGGCACTTAAAAACCAATTCGGATCGGCGAATCGACGATCTGGATCAGAAATCAGCTGAATCGATCAGATTAAAGCTTCAAAAAAATCCGAAAAAATTATTAAAATTCATTATAAATATTGTTTTTTAGGAATTCAATAAGAAATGAGAGTACTCCATTAAGAATTTTTATTTCTTTGCATGAATATGCGAATATTGATATGTTCTTTTCCTGCATGAACTACTATTTACTATTTAATTTACATCACACAAAAGGATAAATGTAGAATTATCATGGAATAAGTATATCAGCATACATGGGCTACAATAAAGCATACAATTAGTAACTCAAAAATGCATTAACAACAAATTAAAGAAATAGAGTTTTGCATTAAAAATATAATAACATGCATTTTTTTGCATAAATAATCTATCAACATACAATTTTTTCAACAAAAACTTTAACAATAAAAATTAAAAATATGGTTTAATACCTCATGATAATCAAAACCTGGTCACTATTTCACATCTTTTCCAAAAATCACGATTTTTCAAAAAAAATTGATCATGTATTAAAAAAAAAAACAAATAAAAACAATTATTCACAGAGCCACCTAGCATCAATCATTCCAACTCAAAAATGCATTAACAACAAATTAAAAAAATACAGTTACATTAAAAATATAATAACATACATTTTTTTGCATAAATAATCTATCAACATTCAATTTTTTAAACAAAAACTTTAACAATAAAAATTAAAAATATGGTTTAATACCTCATGATAATCAAAACCTGGTCACGATTTTCACATCTTTTAGGAAAATCATCATTTTTCAAAAAATTCGATCATGGATAAAAAATAAAAAATAAAAAAAAATACAGCAAACTCAAACAATAAAAATTAAAAATATGGTTTAATACCTCATGATATTCAAAACCTTGTCACGATTTTCACATCTTTTCGAAAAATCACAAATTTTTAAAAAATTCGATCATGGATTACAACAAAAAAAAAAAATTCTGTTCTTCACAGAGCCACCTTATATCAGCCATTTTAACTTAAAAATCCACCTCCAAACGAATAAATTACATCCAATTGAGTACAAGTTTTGATAAACAACACTATAAAGAATCAAAACTCTAAATTATGAACACATTATCATCAATATATCAAATCAAATCGATTAAATTGAGCAAAAAAAAAAAAAACCGGCAGTTCTTCACAGACAACAGTCATTGAATCTAAAAAATGAAGCTCAAATTGAATAAATCAAATCAAATTGAATACATCTGATTATAAACAAGACTATAACGATTCAAAACCCTAGAAATCTAACACATTATTTGTAATATATCGTGAACAATAGATCGAAAGGCAGAAAAAAAATAAAATAAAAAACAGCAGAATTTTTTTTTTCATAGACATCCGTGTGTTTTTCTAGATACTCAGGCTGTAATTGAGTAAATTAAATAAAATTGAATATAGTAAATGATAAAAGACACGATAAAGATTTAAAACCCTACAAATTTAACTGATTTCGTGAACCCGTGGCTTCAATCTCCAAATTAATCTGTTTTTCTCAAAGATAATCACAAATTCATAACATAAATTTCTAATGAACACATTTACGATCAATATGCCTCAAACTTTTCACATATTCATGCCCTATTTGGCATGAAACAAAATGAAAAATGAAAACCTTAAAACCCGCAACTTTCATGATCCAAAAAATTGAAAATTTTTCACCATTTAATACATGAAAAGGCTGAAAAAAGCTGCATAAAGCCTGAATATTCGATCACATGGTAAAAAAAAAGGAAAAAAAATGATAAAAAAAAGATAAAATTTGAAGAAACCCGTGAAGAACACTGTGCAGCCTGTGTTCTCGTCGATTCGGTACAGTGAATCGGCGATTCACTATACAGAATCGCTCGGTCTCACTGGAATCAGGTGATTCCATGTAAAATACTAGAACCAACACGGACTGTGCCGATTCCCGAGTCGAACCGGACTCCCGAGTCGAACCGGGCGAGTCCGATTCGACTCGGCATATTTTAAAACACTAGTCACATAGGATCGTTACTCATTATTTTTACAATAAATTTTGGGCGTGGGGTATTTCGGCTATTATATTTTAATAAAAATTCGTTTTAGTATTATTTTTAGCTGTGCTCCTTTAAGAAGATGGCACATACCAAATTTCATATTAATACAAGTTATAGAAAAAAAAAAAAAAAAAAACTTTGAAGAGTCTGATCTTGATCAAACGGTCAATGGCTCACTTGATCTTAATTGGAAGGTTGGATAAGGGAAAATATATATCTTCTATGTTGTAGGGGAAGTATAGAAACCATTCCCACCGTATATTACCTGGATAACCTGTTTCTTAAAATTGGTTTTAAGCTAGGTGAGGTACCCAAAAGAGCTCCAATTTGCTCTATGTTCAAGATACAATCACCTATAGTTTTGGAGTCTATACTCAAGATATACTCACCTTTAGTTTTGGAGGTTATAAAAAACTTACTTTTGTTCTTTATCCAACTCAATATTTTATTTTTAAGGTGGGAAACAGCATTGTTTGGTCTAATTAAAGGACCAACAAATATCAAGTCAATTTTCATATTGTTGAAGATTGAATGACTTTCAAATTTCAGATTAGAAGTCCAAAAATTAAAATGTATGGGTCTTATATCGCCATTTTCCCCTATTCTTTGGATCCCTTTGGGGTTTTGAGCCTTTAGTCAAAGTTTGAATCTTTCGGGGGTGGATTGCTCTCCGGCCTTGGGCATCGTTTCAGCTTTTTTTTTTTTGAGTAAGTGCGATATTTCATTAAAGTAAAGGTTACAAGGGAAAAAAGAAAAAAAAAAGAGAGAGGAAAAAAACAGAAAAAAGAAAGGAAAGAGGGAAAATCGGAAAGGCAAATAGGCTAAACCAATCCTAACAATTGGGGTACTAGGCCTCTTACCAAGAATATCTGCATCAAAGTTTGGACCCATGAGGTACACGAAAAAAGGATGTATAACGACCTCTGAGAAACACAAGGATTTCATCCATAACTGCACTAAGCCTCAAAGCAATGATATTCATCTTCAAGCACCACAAAATAACATTGGTAGAGTCACCTTCAATAACCGGACACACGCATCTTCATTGATCTCACAGGGATGTAGCATGTCATAATAGGATCATAACGTACAACTAGTATGATCCCGGAGTAAGTCACCATAACCAGACCACTGTCTCCTAAGACTACTATCAAAGTTCATTTTAAACCAGCCCTCAAGAGGCTTAGTCCAAACTCGGTGAAACCGAGCATGACGCTTCCTTAAGAACAAAAGATCTGTGAAATGTGTGAAGAAGAGTAAGCTCGACACCACAGACAACGGAAGAGAGGCATAGGCACACATTTTCTTGGACTCGCAAAATTGACTTGGAGAAAAAAGATTTTGAACTTTTTTTGAAATGAAGAAAATAAATTTTTTTTTTAAGACGAAAGTTTATATAAGATCAAGGCCCTAAACCATTAAATTAAGGCCTACCTAAAGAATCCAATAGAAAAAAGGTTATTTTGATGCTAAAAAATCCTCACATCGATCATTTGGACCTCAAGAGGTACAGACATGAGAAAAAATAAATTCCAAGTCTTGAAAACTATCCATCTTGTAATGCATTTTTGGACCATTAGTTTTCAAAATTTTTTAAATGTTCAACGATTTGCTTGATGTACATTATTTTTAAAGTTTTAAATTTCATAATTAGATATAAAAATAAAGTTTCAAGCCAGTACAAAGGTTTTCACTACCAAAAAATATATTATAATATTATTTAAAGGTGTCTCTTAGTTTGATTGTTTAGGGCCTCTACCCCATACAAACCACACCCATTATATATCGAGCATGTTCATTACGCTTCGGCAGGCGCAAAACTGCCCATTCCCTCCCTATGGTAAAAAAAATGTACTCGAAAAGATCTTTTGAATTTAAAAATTTGGGATCCATTTAAAAATCACTAGATGGCTATGTAAACAAAAGGTGTGGTTTGCATAAGGTTGCAACCTTAACCAATCAAATTAAGGTGCATCTCTAAATTTTATCATAAGATGTAATTAAGGTATAAAAAATTCTTAGGATGCCATGAGAATCCATTTTTATTTGTAATTCTAAAATTTTAAACTCCAAAAATGACTAAAATCAAGTAGATCTATAAATACATAAAAAACTTGAAAATGGACGGTCTAGATAATGTGTTGCAATATGTATTATTTTTAGGATTCAAATTATTATTATGATTATTTTTATATTTATACATGTGGATGTCAAGATGATCAATTAAAAGGTTTTTCAACATCAAAATAGTTTTTTTCGATGGACTTTCTCGATGCACCCTAATTCTACATTTTATATATAGACTTTTTCTTTAAAAAAATAGTTTTTAGCAATTTAACGCTTAGATTTTGCCTTCAAAAAGTTGGACAGAATACGTTCAATTTTTGGATGTTATTTTTTCTCAGTCAAAGTGGATACATTGCTAAAATTTAGGGTCCAGAAAAATTCTTATAGCTTGGTTTTTGCCTTGAGGAATAAATAGACAGCTTGGAGCACAAAATCATCACGGTTTGTTTCAAGAAAGGAAAGTAGTATTAGATTCACCTCCACTTTGCTCCCAAGTTTTGTAAATTAGCTCAACAGCCTCCATTTTCAAAAGAGAAGTGATTCGAAGTTTAAGTTTTGTAGGGACTGGATTGAGTCCCAAAATTGGTACGATAAGATCGTCTATTTTTTATACAAGAAAAGTCGCATTTATTTTCAGCTATTAAAAGCAAAATCTCATAGATTGGAATGCGTCATAAACAAAATAAAGCCTTATCTCGAATCCTCATTCGAAAAGCATGATGGACATCGAAAATCTCCATGGCTCTAAAATCAAATTTCAATTCCGATTATGAAATTTAAGACCTTGAACAATATTTGCTCTATAGGTTGTACATCCCCATTGACACAATGGAGACTCTCACGACGATCTGGAATATAACGTAATGGCCAGAGTGTGAGTAATGGCTCTGGGCCCATGGGGCTCCATTAGCCTGAGGGGATCGCTCTCATCATCGTGGATGGGAATGGCCATGTGGCAATCTAATAGATCAAAAAATATAAAATAAAAAAGTAACGATTATGAAATTTGAAGCTTAAAAATGGCGACGACCTTGATATGTGAACTCTTATTTTGAGGGCAAAATCAACGGTCAATATAATGTGTCAAAAAAAATCCTATTTCTTTCGTAACCAAAATGGTCAAGGTCCAGATATCAATTTTAAGGTTTTCAGTCAAAACTTTAATTTTCTCTTAAATTTAATGACCTATCAAACCACATTCCAATTTCATTTGATCTAACGGTTAATAATGACACAAAAAGTATGTGGTCTTTTTATGTCACTTTCCAGTTGGTTAAATCATCGACCTTGATGATCATTTCAAAAGAAAATGATTAATTTTAGATTAATTGTATTATTTTCCACCATATATAATCTTATTCTAACATGGAAAGAGCAAAAGAAAATTGGTTGATGACCGAATTTCTACAATATGTTCACTTAAAAACAATTGTAACTAATGGTTCAAATATTTTATTATTATAATTATTATTTTTAGCCGTCAATCTTTTTTTTTTTCATATTTATGATCTCCATGTTAAATATTAAAAAAAAATATAATGAAACTATTTACCTTTGGTACAAGATGGTCACGATAAGTATTTAACATGGGATATGACATTGGTTGGTTTCATTTATTTTATTGACCAAATTCAAAAGTGCAAAATAATTTTTGTCAAACTTTGAGACACACCCAAGTTATTAGATTCCACATCGGATGGTGGTAAGTAATTGTGACCTCTCTATTCTAAAAGTAAACTATACAATTCCTAAATATTATATATTATCTAGAAATTAAGATCAAATTATATTTAAAAAATATATTTATTGCCAAGCCCGCATTTCTACAATATGCGGGCTGGCCGCAGAGAAACCGTGCCAAGAAAAATAATCTTCTGGTTCACTTCTCTCTCGGGAGTGTTGTTTTACTAACCTGAAGCCCGTGGACTTTGAATTTTTCATGAATAGAGCGAGGAACAAAAGCTAAGAAGCGCATCAGATGCTTATGGCTCACTTAACGACCTTTCTTTCCCTTTCTCGAGGGTTATTCCTCCTTTTCTGAAAAACCTAATTAAATAGTGGAGGAACTCAACTTCAGGGGTTCCTTTTTTGCGTTTGAGGAAAAACATATAGGGTTTAGGTGAGAAAGTCATCAGTAAGATGTTGGATCTTCAGAAGAGGAGGGTGAGGCTGGTTCTTTTCATCTCGGGTCTCATCATTCTCAGCATGACAGGTCTTCTCAATTTCATATAGGTTATCATATATGCATCTCTTCGAAATTTATCTGTCTTATTTGATTATCGGAGAAGAATATCTAAAAATTTATGTTAAAAATGGATGAAATGACTATATTTTAAGTTTCTGAAACAGTGTGTTTTACTTCTTCAGTGCTTTGACTTTCCTTTTCTGGAATGTTTACTTGGGTTGAATGGATTGGGTTTTTAGGTTCTTTTTGGTTTACCTGTTCTAAATATATTTTTGTTTTTATGATTGAGTTGTTGAATTGGTTATGATGTTATTACCTAATTATTCTCTCTCTCTCTC